GCGCGGGGCCCCTGCTTGGCCTCCTCGCCCGCGGCGCGCGCCTCGTGGCCGTGCGCGTCCTTCTCGGGCGCGTGGCCCTCCTTCGCCTTGTGCTCCTCGGCGGCCAGGTCCTTGCGCGATTCCGAGTGCTCTCGCTCCCTCTCCTTGGGTTTGTCTTTCTCGCGAGCCTCAGTGTTCAAATGACCCCTGATCTGTTCGGCGGAGCTGCGGTTGTGTCCCAGGGCGCCCACCGGGAGGACAGGTGCTGGTGAAGGGTGGCTGGAGTGTCTCTTCTCAACGCTTTCCCTGCGGCGGAAAGAAGGACACGGGACACGCATGAGGCGGGCTCGCGCGGGGACGGGGGCTGCGATGAGATGGCGGTGGAAAGGCCGGGCCGGTGTGGCTCCCGCCAGCCCCCTGGTCTTAGCACCTGGATTTCAGAGGAAGCTTAATGGGGTGAAGCACCGGGGATGAGGTAGGTGAGAGAGTCTAGCGGGGCACTGCCCTGCCTGTGTTCAAGAGCCACGCGCCTCAGTCAGGATCGGGCAACTGTCAGAGAGCCAGGACGGACCAGGACCAGGGCCCCGCGGGCCCGGATCGGCCATGTGGCAACACCGGTGTCTGCCCAGATTTTCAGTCGGTTTGTGTTCAGAGTCACGACCTAAGGGCCCACACGCAAGGCCCATTTTCCTTCCAACACTGCACACAGAGCACTGGAAGCAGAGCTAACGTACACATTCAAGGGGTCTTGTGCTGCTGACCCTCAGAGCAGGGGCCTCTTCACAGGGAAGGGTGCTGGCCCAGAACAAGCTCTTAGTCACAGCAGGGGTCTGAAAGAGATCTGCCTTCCTGGACTCTCGGGTGGCAGAGGCAGGATAAGGAAGCCCAGATCTGGTCGGCGAGTGGAGGAGGGCAGTAGGAAAAGGGGGGCCACAAGTACAGAACCCCGTGGGGGAAACAGAACAATCTATAGGCAGGGAAAGAAAAACGCCAGAGACCTGCCTTGGATGCGGGCAGAAAATTCAGGACAAGGTAAAACTTGGAGACTTAGATGAACGATCAGGCAAGTCTTAGCAGAGCCCTAGGGAGAGCCTGTGAAGGGATGAGAGGAAGAGAAGCGAGGCACAGGCAAGCAAACTGGTGGCCACAGACAGAAGACCGGGTGGCCCCAAGGGGGAGAATTCAGGAGGTGCCCCAGCAACGCTTGTTTCCTAGGAACAGACAAGGGCTGGAAGCATGACCTTAAAGGGAAGGCTGGAAGAGGAGTATTTCACCAAGTTCATTGAGTTTCCTGACTTCAATGCAAGAGGCCATTCCGATACCATCAGGACAAACCTGAGAGGGTCTGCCAGCCACATCCAGCTCTACTCAGCATCTGGAGTGCAGGGGCTGGGGCTCGGCCACTCTGGGCTGCCTCGATTTGCCAGGTTATAGCCCACAGCTGAAGACTGAAATGGTCTCCTCACTGGTTAAGAGAACTTTGGACTTGATTTGATGAGAAAGGAATTCATCCGCATAGCATAATGGCCTGTGAGGCAGATCTACTAATCTGCCGTACTTAGAGCCTGCAAAGCTGCACATTTAAAAATTATCAGGACATACACACATACACAAAATATATACAGTAAAGAAAATGAAGGCCTTGGATCAGATCTGACATCAAAGTAAGCGGTAATTAGGTATTTCTTGTTAAGCATATGGAGTGCATCCCTTGCTTACCAGTTCATTCAGAAGGAATACAGTGTATGAAAGAAAAAAGAGACCCTCCATCAAGAATGCTTAGGATATTCTTCAGAAGAAACCCTACCAGACATCTCCTCTGTAAGGCTGCTTCTTTTTAGGCAGGGCTTACCACGTACCAAAACAACAATGGTCAAAAAATTAATTATCCACTGGTGAAACCAACCCAAAAGTTCTTGCTGGCATTTCTCTAGATTTAGGTTAGTAAGATTTTACTGGTTATCTGTAAGTCCCAGGCTTTGAGTTTGAACAAAACTTGAGAAAAATATGAGGCAATGCAAACATGACTTTCTAAATGCAAACAAAAAGAAAGAGAGAAAGAGAAAAACCTATGGATGATTGAATGGACTACACGAACTTGAAAGCAAATATGGCATTGATTCATGCTGTGTGTGTTTGGTCCAGAGTTCCAACTCTCTGTCTCATAGAGGAAGATTTCCGTTTGGACAACTTAACGCTTCAGGGACTTTGGATGTTCTGTGTGTGTCACTGCTTCCGAGACGGGCATCTTTCACTGTGCTAGAGTCCTACTCTGAGGTCCCGGCACACTGGGCGCCATGGGGCGCTGGCTCCGGAGCTGAGAGGGGCCTTGCTGCCTAGAGGAGCTGGGACTCCTGGGTAGCTGAAGCTCGAGGCTGGGACAGGGAGGGTGGGTGGCCGGTTCCATTGGGACGTGGCACAGAGTGGGCTCCCCCATTGGGACTCGAGAGCGGTTTCTTTCCGTACCTTTCTTTGTCATCTTTACTAACGGATGAGTCTCGTTTATCTACATCTCTATCTCTGTCATGAGCTGCAGCGGACGCGCTGCGCTCCATCTCCCCTGGCTTCAGCCAGGGCGGAGGGGTCGGGAACGACGGAGGCGTTCGGTGCAGCCGGTTCCAGGGTTCGTGAGGGTTGCTAAAGCTCTGCACACTGGGGCCATCCTTGTGGCCGAACATTGAGTTGGGTGCTGAAATGGTGAAGTGGAGAACAAAAAGGTTTAAGAGAAATTATATAATCTGCTGTAATGAAGGTACTTACCAAAAAACTTTTAACAGCATTCAGAGTTAAAATGAATACATATTATTGGGAGCTGGAAAAGGAAAGGAGATTAACAAATTCATTAGAGGAACTCTTGTCCTACACTGGAGGTGTAGCTCAGTTTTTTTTCTTTAAAAAAAAGACCAAAAGCGGATGTGGGGTGGGGGGTGAGGGATTACAGATGAGAAGGACCGAACAGGTGTCGTTTCCACCTGATCAAACATATCTGGTGCATGCAGAAGTTCCAAGCATGCAGGAGGCGGGTGATGATGGTGTGGAACCTCAACTACAAGCAGAATACACGGTTTCCTCTACCCATCCTGCTAAGGTGCCTGCTACTCTCTCCAACCTTAGCCAACTATAACCAGTGTCCCCCGAGATGACACAGGACCCTGACCTGAACTGATGTGTAGTTCACCATGCTGAATTTTAAAGAAAAACTTCATGGTGTCGGTGGGCTCAGAGCTACATCTTAGGTCTCCTGTACTCCAGAGATATGAAAGGTGGCATCAGAAAGGCCAGCTGAGGATTTGGTGACTAAAAACTGTCTAGAACATGAATGGGGCTGCAGTTTTCTTGTTATTCAGCGTGAACTTTTAACAGCAGAGAACTACCTGGTTCTCCCGCAGGTCCTGGGGCATGAAGTGCTGCCAGCTCCTTATTTTGAGCCTGCTATTCTTCAGTGTACTTTGTGTGATCCCACCAGTGCCAAAGGTGAGATAAAATTTAAAGCTGTTTTGACATCTAATGTGAACTATAGCCAGAATCTTGACTAGCAGAAATGGGATACAGATGAACCTATAAAGTTACGTAAGCTTTGGGCTGTAATCACCTCCACTCCCCTTCCCGCCGCTCGGCACCACACGCTGACCGAGGGATCTCTTTAGAGTGGTGGCTTTGCACACTTGCATCTGACTCCATTGCTCTGGCCTGCTTTTTACAATGACAGAACCTATGTTTGTTTCCCAGGAATACAGTTTCCTTTTATCTAAAACAGCCTGGAACCCTATGCAGGTCAGAGAAGAGAAGGAGTCCAAGGCAGACTGGAGAAGGTTAGAGGTACTCACTAACTGAAGGGTTTCCAAGTCCCCCAAAGGCATTGCCACCGACTGCTGCGAGGCCTGTGAACGTAGACGGCCGATTAAAAGGCTCTGCAAATAAGATTGGGAAGAAGAAAATGGTCACCGGCTCTGCTCCAGGAGCTGGGGAGAGTAACAGGGACCCCTGCCTTCTCTGTGCCTGTCCCACTCCTGCTGGACTGGGTGAAAGGTTTTTATCGTACTTGGACTTAGGGACTGGTTAGCAAGATGTTTACAAGGGCACTTTTTCTAGAATGCTGCACTTTGCCTCGTTCTTCCTTTGTCCAGGGGGATGGTGCCCATACGCTGATTTTCTGTCGCCTTTCTGCCCTGGCTTCCCTTTCCCAGGATTGGGCTCTGCAGGCTCTAACCATCTTAAGAGTAAATCTCTAGATGACAAAGACCTGTCTACAGCCTGTTGCTATGCGTACCACCACTCCCAGCATCTGCTGTATGCTTGCAGAAAATACCAGATCATAAACACCACAGGAAGCATAAACCCTTCCTAGGAAAAGACATGTTAACAGGGCAATAAAATGCGAGATAACCAAAATAAAAAATCCTTTATAATATCACAATGTCTTTCTTTCCATCTCCTCCTGGAGGTGCCCTGAGCTGTGGGGTGAGATTTCACCATCTCCCTCCAAAGGGCAGAGCCAGGCAGTGCTAACCTCAGGATCCTGAAACACCCAGGAGCAGCTTCCCCTCACGGCACCCCCGATTAACTCTAGACAGAAGAGAGACTAAGTGCAGATCTACCACCGAAGGAGAGTGTGTCTGTCCTGAAGGTGGTGGCATGTGTGAGGGCACCATCGTCCCTCACTAGGGGGTGGGGCGTGGGAGACTGTCACAGATGTGCCACCAAGCGAAGCAAGAACACCAGAAACACAGCCTGGTATGTCTCAGGCCCACACATCAGTCCCTGCCAGGAGGAGCCAACTCACCTAGGTGAGCAGCAGGGTTGAGAAAGTTGCTGTGATGAGGAGGTGGCCCAAAGGGGGTTCCGGTTGGGTGTGCAGCACCTAGCAAGTCAAACATAACCAAGTCAGGCGTCACAGAAGCCATCTTCTAGAAAGCAACTTGTCTCCAGCTTGCCCAGGTGCCCACAGCGTGAATGTTAACGTAAGGACCTGGCTAAGGTCCACCCATGCCCCTGCAGGCACCACTACAGGTCATAGAGGACGAGGTCTACAGCCAAGGAAGTCTGAAGAAATTCTAGGTTCACAAGGGTGAAGCGAGGCTCTCCACCGAAGGACCCGCCCCACCTTCTCTAAGAGGGGCACGTGTGGTTGTGGCTCCTCCTTCACAGAGCAATGTAGCAGTGGGCAAGCTTCTCACTGTGAAAACCTCTGGCAACCGAGGGGCTGTCCTGAGGCTCAGGTCTGGGCTGCAGAGCTCTGGCTTCCACAGAGTCCCCATCCTTTCCCTAGGAGAACGTTTGCTCTCATGTGCCTATGCTGAAGGATCTCACGAGGCTCAACTCCAGGACGCGCATCGCTCCAAGTTACTTGAGGCTCTGGGAGATGAAGGATTCTGATGTCTCTCAATTTTCAGCGCCAGGAAAAGCTGCTTTATTCATAGACTTTAAACAGCAAAACACGTAAACTGGCTCTCTTAGTCTTTACTCTGCCTGCCTGGGAACTTAAAGATCTAACTTAAAGGTCTTCCTTGCTTACATTTTCCCTTTATCTCCATTTCTTCCTCCACATTACGTATAACACGCACTTGTTTGAGGGGCCTCAAATCCTTTTCTGGGAGGACGGTGGGGAAGGAACGAAAGAGGGTGGGCGTCCGTGGAGGGGAAGGCAGCGCTTCTAAGAGTTCCAGGCATCGAGGTCACGAACACACTGCACAGTGGGGAAGGCAGCTCAGAGACCAGAATGCTGCCAGGGGCCCCTCAAGAAGGCTTAGTTTACTTCATGCTTCAGTCCCCAGTAGCAGATGAAAGTGGCGGAATGTAACATGCATGTTCAAGTTGTAAATGACAGTTAAAAGTTTTAGCAAATAACCATTTTGGACAAAATCCAACACCGCTAACACAAAAAGATTACCTTTATAAACAGGGCTTGGATTTACTTACTAAGCTGGATTTAGCTTGCTAAGAAAGTTTCCCAACTCTTACATTTTGTTTAAGTTCCTATAAACAAATATAAATGCCCTTAAGACACAAATGAAATGCAGGTTTGTTCCTTGCCGTACTCTTAGTAACTCAGCTTCAAGGTTCTATTACTGTTCCCTGGGCTGGGAGGGTCTTACGGGCCAAGGGTAGAAGAATAAGACACACTCTATGGGACAAACATCAGTCATTGGGACAGAATCACAGAAGGTGAAGGCACCCAAGGGGTTGTCCATCCAGCCCTAGACGGTGGCTTATTTTCCACCTGGGAAGTGCTAAAATGATACCCTATCTCCACAGGGCGAATCTACTCCAGAACATTCATCAGCACTGCCAGTGTTGCCAGTTAAATACAATTTTGGCCACACACTGTCTGTGTAGTACAAGCTAATTAATGCTTCGATGAAGACCAGAGCCTTGCTCAGCCCAAGGCCTCCAGGGATGCCTACAGCTCCAGAATTATTGAAGCAAAAAAAGCCAATTCATTCACTTGGTTCAGATGAAAGCCAAAAAGAAATTTCTGCATTTCTCTCCAAAAATTGCTCTTAATGTAGCCCTGTCTCAGAGCTAGGTGCCATGGTAACACAGCCTTCAAATGTGTCCCTAGACAGAACTCATGGGGAAAAATCTGAGATCTTAGCAAATTTTATGAACCCTCAAGGGTGATTCACTTGTACTGGCAAGAAGGTCTACAATAATGATGATTTCTTGCAACGTGGGTTATTTCTCTTTTCCTCAATGGAAGAGCCATGGGTCCACCAAAATTGAGTCTTGGATCAAAGCCTGGCAAGGCAGCTGGCAGGATGGGTATGAAACTTGTTCTCTCAGGGTCAGAAGCAGCAGGACCCTTCATTATTGATGTCCAGAAGAATAAATTCTACTTAGCACAGTGGGTGAAGTTATGGAGCTTGTTACCAGAACAGGTTCAATGCCATCGTTTTTGAGCATTTACCAGAGGCTGTGAGGGAGTATGCATTAAAAATAACTTTAGAAAAGACTGAATGCTGAGGAACCCTTGATACCAAGGGGGCTATTGCCATCCACTGAATATTCTGGACGGCCGCTGCATTCGGATTGCACGTACCTGGCGCAGGAAGGGCAGTTCTCAGATGCACTTTCCTCGCCCTTCTCCCTAAGCTTCCCTCCGGTACACTCAAGGGACCCTTGAGAATATGTGTTTTCAGAGGTTAAATGAATTACAAATCCGATGGACAGGTGACAGGTCTAATGAGCAGAACACTCTTCTCCCTAAATTTCCTCCACCACTATACCCAGCCAGGCACTATGAAGTTCTGTAGCAGAGAAAGCCAGGCAGCACCCAAGAGGTCAGACTTCCTTATTACAGACTGTCTGCAGCTACCTTCGTTGCATGCCGTTATCCACAGAACCCGGAAAGAGTGTGGCCGAGTGGTATGGTGCAAAGTCACTGAGCACTCCGTGAGCACCTGCAGGTGCACATCTTTCTATAATTTCTGGTGCTGCTTCCTTCCGATTCGCCCTTGCAAGCTTTCTGATCGTTTTCAATAGCATTTGGTATGCCTGTGAGTTATGCTGATTTGATATGGAAGCAAATAAGCTGAAGCAGTACGAGTCCACATAAAAGAAAGATGACCTCTTTTTCCTTCTTTAATGCAAGAGGGAACATCAACAGAGCAGGGCCCGTCTGCCTAGATGGACTGTGACGGTGCCAGGCATATCGTTTTAGGCAGGGACTCAGCAGCGGCATGGAGCCTACACAGAATTTATTTAGCTCCCAGAGAACTGCATTTGTCAGCTCTTCTCTCCCACTCTGAACTCACCAGCGGCAGAGAACAAAGTTGAAGGGCGGGCCAGGTCATGCGGGTGGTGGATGGCTCCGAAGAGGCTGGGGCCTGGAGGGCGGCTCAGGAACTCAGGTTTCAGTCCAAAGTCCAACTTATGTGGGTCCGACTGCATCTGTTTCTAAAGCAGCAAGGGGAACGAAGATGAAATCCCAAGCAAGGTATTATCCAAGAGCCTGAGCCTGGCAGGCTGAGCTCTGTGAATGGAGCACTTGGGCGCTGACCCCCAGTCAGGTTCAAGTTTACAAACACTGTGAGATGAAGCAACCTAGAATCCATTAACCCTCATGGGGCAGGCAAGCGGGTTCACCTAGGAGAGACCGGCAGTGCCTACTGCCTCTCACATCAGAGACTGCAAGCGAGCGTTCTGACTTTGTGGCTGAGAGGATAAAGGAATACGCCCACATCCTATTTATTCAAACTGGCACTACTCCTGGAGTAGTTTATTACTTTGCTATAAAGGACCATTTTAGCAAGTTTTAAAACGATAGTGTTTTAAGGCTCATTTTATTAGGAATTCTGCATGAATAATCGACTGTGTAAATTAATTGTTTAACGGCTGTGCCATACTCTACTAGATCACAGCACATTAGTAACTGAATATTATGAAGAAATATCTCCATGCCTACAAGCTAATTTTCAAATGATCACTGCTGCATATTTAAAAAACAACAACAAATGAAACAAAGGAGAGGTATTGATTCAAATAATAGGCCTTTTCTTTTCCTACTGTCCCCAATTACCAGAAGAGGAAAAGGAAGTCAGTCCACACAAGTACTGACATTCTCTCTCGTTGGGAAGTCCTCGCCATCCACCCTGAAGCTAATCCTTCTTCAGCTCACCTTCCTCTAAGTCTGTACACATTGGCCTATGATCCTCCCCAGGGCTTTGTCCTAGAGGTGGGCAGCCCTGCGTGGCTTCAGAGTTGCCTCACGTTCTTGATTCTTCTCTTGGAATCAGCTTTATGCTTCTCTCTCGTGGCCTGGGACCCCGGGACCTGACGCTACGAGCTGCCTTCCCACCACTCTCCTGCGCTTTCACTGCTCCCAGCCTGCTTCTGACTCACTCTTCCAACCTCTCAGACTTCTCTAATGCTCTGTCTGGCCCCCTTTTTACCCTCCGCAGACTTTCCTGTGTTCTGAGTGCTCTTTGCCCTACTGTACAATGACAGAGCGGATAATGCATCTATGTAGACATAGTGCAGGTTGAGGGTCGGAGATGAGGAAAGTTCCCCATTCCTTTATTGCTGTAGGTCAAAATCCTACTCATCCACTGACCTCATTTGAAACGGAAACCTAAGCGAGCACCTCACGTTGGGAGCAACACCCTTTGGAAATACACAGCCCTCTGTCACCCACGCACACGTGCACTGATCCTCCCTACTGAACACTTAAGGAACCAGACAGGAGAGATGAGCGCCCTCAGCCTGGCATGCTAAGTAACCTGAGGGGGCAGACTCTCAATAAGTACTTAGTGAGTCAATAAAAGAATGAGTAAATGAACGTTAAAGAGAAAGGGAACGATGTGATTTCTGGCCATATCTATAGGGAATACTCTAATGAAAGTCCCACTACAAAGTAACAGCCAAACCCCCAAACTAAGTTGCTAATTCACTATAAATCTATAAAAATCTTTTGAGTACCTCCTTTCATTTGGTTGCCAAATTATTTAGTGCTAATATTGCATGGTACACAGCACAGTTTCATTAAACACAAGTTAGGTCCATGAAGCAAAATGGAGCTTGGGGATTACAAACGGTTCGCCAGGAAGGGAAGATGAACAGAGTTATCTCACGTTCAAGAGGTCTTGCTAATTGAATTGGGGTAATGAAAGTTTAAGTCACTGGGGGCATTTTTATGGAAAAGAAGTTGCTAAAGTGGCACATACAACATCCTTCACTGCTTTAAACCGAAGGAGTTAAGAGGGAGACGTGCTTTACCTACTGTTCTGCTAACCCCGCCATCCAGAACCAAAAGTGAATTGAACTAATCATCAAAATCTAGTTAGCTCTTCAGAGCACAAGCGTTTTCTAGGGAAGTTAAAACATAGGTTTCTAATTTAACCTCACCTAACAATAAAGTAAAAGTGAGCAAAACTCACTGATGGGATGTAAGAGCAAGAGCAGGTGTCTGGAAACCAAAGCAAAATATCCTAGCCACGTTTGCTCATTCACTGAGGTTCGCTTTTCCTCTTTTAACTAGGTTTTGTTTCAGTTTTTATTTTTCATCAGTATACTTTCGCAGTAGATAATGACTGCATTCCTTCTCAGGGAGTTGGGGCGCTCTTCCAAGAGCACGTCTCTGATGACTCGCTCTTCTTCACTGTGCAGTGGACTACTCTCGGGATGGCTCTCTCATGCTGTTAGGATGAAACGCTTGTTCGTGAACCACTGGGCTAGGTGATAAAAGCTTGTTCATGAAGCAACAGATTAACTGAGGCTTATTGGAACAACCCGACTGGATGTTTTCTACCATTCTTCCAGCCACAGTTACACAGCCTTAAAATCTAGACTTGTGAGTTATTTTGTCCCTTAAGCCAAGCCCTGGCTCCATATCAGGTTCCTTGTAGGTTTTGTTCTTTTCCCTATTGTGTTATAAAGGCTCCATAAAACACGGGATATATTCAACTATATGATAAAAAACACACACATGCATGCACACACAAATTCATCTACAGACAGGGTGACTGGCCAGGTGCCTCTGGCAGTACTGACTATATTCTAATGCCTGGCACTGGTCACCAGAAGGAATAATGGAAGATCACTGCAAACTCAGTGCTGCTTCTGGAAGAATAACTATTAGTTATATGCATTGCTAATGGCTGTTCAATATGGTATTCTTCATAGAGGGTATAAAGTACTCTTTATCATTTTTCCAAAGCCATAAAATGAAAAGTATATACCAATCATTACCTAAAAAGCAAAATAAAACATTCACTGCTTGTTCTTTTGAGTTACTTGTTCTTCATATTCTAACAGGAGCATATTTCATATTCTAATGAGATCCCCAAACCTTTACTTTAGGATTTAATCTATATTTAAGCCCTTTGGGTCAATAAGATGACAAATTCATCAAAAAGGAAAACTATACCAGGAAATTATCAGTTTGCAGTTTTGCTAGTGGTCTCTCTAATTACTAACAAGATTGCTCAGTAGCTTTTGCAAGAGGGTCTTGACCCTTCCTGCCCATGGGTTTTTAGACTCTGCATTCTTAGACTCCCCATTCAGGTGTTCCACATATTCCTCCCTACCTCCACTCTGCCCTGAACCAGGAAGTCCCACTGACCTTGACTTTCTGTTGGTGGTGGTAAATCTGCCAGGCGATGTGAACATGCATAGCACACCACTTCCCTGGTTTCTGGAACAAGAAAGAGCAATGTGGTCAGAAGAAAGACACTTCAGAGAAACCACCTTCAATTTCCCCCACACTTTCAGCAGATCTTGGCCGCAGAGGCTTTTTTCATGAAACAACAAGAGTGCTTTGTACCCTCCAAGTGCCTCCCATCAGCCTCTGCCCAATGCCCAGTCATGAGAGAGTCACAGTTCATTGGCCCCCACATGGGCCTGAGACGTCAGCTACAGCTCAGGAAACCCATCTTGTCCCAGTTACCAAGGACAAGATGGCAAAAGCCCACTTTGTGTCTTATTTTCTCTTTCTTTTCTGGTGCCAGCTGGCAGATCTGGTAGAGTAGGAAGTCCTACTTAACAAATGCTGCCATGCTGTAATGCAAATCAGATGTTCAGAAGAGCTAATTAGGGAATGTCTGTGAATCAAATCAAAACAAGAAAGGGTACAGGACCTATCATAACCTCCTCAAAGACTGTTTTTCTTTTAACCCTCAAAGGGGTAAAAAGAAATGTATCCTATTTAAATTTAAGCCCAGTGACCACAAATGTTTCACTAAGAGCCAACTATCCACTTGTGTTGGTGAGCATGGTCCACTACTAAGTTAAGAGAAGAGAAGAAAAGAGAGAAGAAAAAAGAATTTCTTCCTTCCTGCTCTCTAGGCTTCTGCGGATATCAAGTCCCTCTTCTATCTGCTGAGGAGTAATATATCAATCCAAATCTCATTATTTTCTGCTTTGCCTTCTGAGCAGTAAACTAACTTCATGTAGATTCTCTTCTACCAACTAGAGGGCAAGTAATCTACCCTCAGGCTCCAAGTGCGTACTCAGTCACTCCTGGATGGATGAGAAGAAAGCAAGCCCCATTTTACACTGGCAAAGGACAGAAATTTATGTTTTTTGTAGTAAAGAATTGTTCCTGAAATACATACTTAAATTCAAATCTGGACCATTTCTTCCTCTTATAATGGAATTATGGTTTTATTAAAAACAAAAAAAAAATCACAGCACATTGCCTCATCTAAGTGTTGACAAAGATCTTTTCCCCTTTGGGAAAACTGAATTATCTGACAGTATGCACCAGAAACAGATTATGTAGGAAATCTACTGTCCATCCATCTTCCATCCAACCACCCACCACCTTTGTCTCTGGCACCCAGCCCCCACTCAGAGGTCATCTGCTGGCCAGGTTCCAGCCTCAGGAACATTTTGCTTTTAACAAGATGTTGAACAAACCAATTCCTTTAGTATCCCTTCCTGCACGAGAGAAATAGGCCTGATGGTTATGGTAAGCCAATGTTACTTAGTTCTGAAAAAGGGAATTACTAGCCAAAACAAACAGATCCAACATTTGTGTTTTCTAAGGGTAAGAAAGATTAACTTCAGCCTCTAGCTTAAATCTTTCCCCTTAAGATTCAAATAGTCAAACCCTTTAGCAGATTTACTAATACCAGAATCTGACTCACTTGAAATTTATCTGTTACAAGAATAAAAAAGCCAGTGGCTTGGCTTTCTCCAACACTCAAAGCAAAAAAATTTAGGCTATTTTTAATTATACTACCTGCAAAACCCAACCCGTTATTCCGACCTTTCCTTCCAACATTTCTAAGCCTCATTTTCTTGCTATCGACTTGTATTTTTAACCCACAGGGAGTCAAACAGAGGTTGCAAAACAGTTCTAGAAGAAGCTTTCTTACCCTTAACATAGGTCTGAAAGGATCTGTCAACTGTGAAGAGAAAATGACAACTTGGTTACACGCCTGTCACTCAAACAATTGCTCTAATTAACAAATTTGTAGTGCTTCATTAGGAGGGGAAATTAAAATGTTAGAATTTTACTTTTAAATGAAGCCCTTTTAGAGAATAATTAGCCCATTTTCACACTATCGAAAGTACCAAGTGTCCCCTCCCCCACATCCCGGGTCTCGGAACATCTACACTGACAAGCCCCTGTACAAGCTGAATCAATGGCAGCGTGCCCTCTGGCGCCACGATGTGCTGGGTAACTTGTCAGAGGCACCCCGTCTTCAGTGTCTTCCACACTATCCTGGGTGAGCCAAAACAGACCTGCGGACCCAGGCTGAAGGGCAGGTGCCACAGGCTACCTAGGGAGAACTGTTCTCTCCAGGTGGGAGAGCCAAGCTCCCTTTTGAAACATCCTCCCTTCCACAACTGTGCATCACCTACATGTGTTAGACGTCTTCAAGAAATGCACTAAGCATTATAAAAATACTCAGTGGAGTCATTTTTAAGTACTACCTAACTCTCCTCATTGATTTCTGACTGTCTTTACCCAGTGAATAAGACAATATTATAAAAGGTAATCCTTTTTTTTTTGCATTTACTATAAAGATAAATATAAACAATATTCAATAGATAAGACTATATCTACTGCATAACATCAAATTCTTTTTTTGGAGGCAGGTGGCATTATAAATTATTGACAAATAACACAACCAGAGCATAATGGATATTTTATTTAGCTCCAGAGCACTAGGGATCCTTGCACCATTAAAAATAGAGGGCCACAAGGGCAGTACGGCTCTGTAACTTCTTGACCTCAGGCAAGTGGGGTAAGTCCTGACTTCCAGGAAGAAAAGCATTCAGTGCTTTTCCATTTAAAAAAATGCTGCAGTTATTTCTTTTGTGTAAGAGAAATTTAAGGAGTTATAGACAGAGAAGAGTGGTTGAGTAGAAACCAGACAAGCAGTGTCCAGTTTCTGGACTCAGACCCTAAGTAAGCTCTTCCTTCCTGTCTTTTCTCACTGGCAAATCTGCCCCTGGTGTTATCCTAGATCTCCAGGAGAGCATTTATCTCCTAAGAATGACTGTCACTTTCTTGCACAAACTCAAAGGGAGTGCTGAAACAGCAGCTCTTGCAAATGGGCTGCAGAGGTGGAAGCGCTGGGTGGGCAGGGGCGCAAACACCCCTGGTGTTACCTGAGACCAAGCCTGACTTTGCACGTACCCTCGGGTCCTTTTGAAGTAAAGTGTGTGGGACTGTCCCAGGCCGAGCAGCGACATCGATAGGGTTGGATGTCTACAAATCAATTAGACCACAGCTTAGGAAGCACAGAACACGGGACATAAAAGCAAGATCTTTCCTTCATTCTAAGTGACAGAAGTGTAACTTCATTTGCTTGTTTCATTCTGGGTTGAGACCTATTTTTCTCGGTGACCATGCATGCTCTCTACGAGAATTTGCTTCCGGTTTTCTGCAGGGGCTCTGGCCAGTGACTGCTTGCTCTCTCACCGTGGCGTCTGTCTAAACCAGAGAGGAGGCCCCCCAGCACATTTCACGGCAATAAAAAGCACAGGACCCAAAGAGCAGCAACACACAAAAAACGCTGTCCCCTAAAACCTCTCTTCTTCCCAGAACCCACAGGACTGACACTCTTGTTTTTCTTTTTGCTTTATCACCCAACATTCCAAGAAATGCTCAAGTGAATGTTATAATTGGCAGTGTCAGGTGCTTCTCATCAGAAAAGCTGACGGTATTTTATAGACATTAAGCTAACTTTCTAAATTTTAACTAGCACACAATAACCAGAAATTACACTCAGTAATTATTCATTAGCAGCAGTGGAAATGGGACAAGAGAACCTAATTTAGGGACCACACAGATCTACTATTACATTTTGCTTTTGTCTCCCCTTATTCCCACTACCATTTTAAAATATCAATAATAATATTAACCTTATCAGTAGGCTTTTGTCCTTTGAATTAGCAACAACCCAAAGTCTACTTTGGGTGGAGTCACTACCATCTCATGGGAAAAGTATCTAAAAACTCACACCAGTTATTTTATTTAAGAAATCACAACCTCTATGCACAGCCCCATACAAGTTAACTCACGTAGAAAAAGCTCAAGTTTAGGCCTGAGCTTGCCAACAAGGAGAAGGGGGGAAAAGAGGAATGAAAGAAAGAAAAGCAATCAGCTGCAGTACAACTAACAATTAAGCTGGAGTTGTTAACAGCCTGATTTGCATACATATGAAGAACTCCACTAATGAACCGCAATCTACATATTCAATCAGGAAGATGGCCTGGAAAGGCCTATTTCAACACCAGGAGAGACACTTTCTTGCCCAGATGTAGTTTTCTGTGTGATTGGATAATTCTGAGTGAGGGAAATAGTCTAATTTATTAAATGACCTACCAGTCTGTTTGGGGATGCACTGGAGATTTGTCCCAGCCTAGAGAGGACAGACCAGGGTCTGAGGGAGTAGTGAAGAGTAGATCGGGAGGAAGGCATTTAAAAATCACCATTATTTTATCTCAAGATAGGAGGCTTTAACCATGGCCATCATAAAAGCCCCATGTATATATAACCTACAAACTGAAGTTCCATGCTACTGCATGTGAGTTTGAGGTGTAGCCACCCCACCCCAGTGCCTTTTAATTTCTTTCCCTATTTCTAGTGTTAAGGCAATATGCCTTTGGAAATGCAGATGAGTGTGGCCCAAAATGTATGTTTATTTTAGAAATGGGGGTGAGGGGAAAAAAGAAAACCACACACACACAGTACACTATCTTGTTTTAAAATCTGAGAATGTTACCAACAGGAGAAGTACCTTTTTTTTTATATGAAAGTTAAAAAGGACCTAAAATAGATTTTTAAATTATTTTGAAAATTATTCTTCCTTATTGACCCTCAGAGGTAACTACAGCCCCAGCTGAGCAGCACATCCCTGACAAAAGAATTCAGTTACAATGCGCAAGGGCCTGATTTCATCCTAGAATGTTGGAAACAGATGACAGAGTCCTGAATTTGGCAAGTGTGACCATGGCGGGGGTCTCTTGGAAAACTGTGTGTGAGTAGAGAAGGAACGATACCGAAAGGGAGGCGGCTGCCCTCCACCTGCAGGCAGAGCCTATTCACAGAAAGATGGGGCTGACAAGATTAGAGAGGGCGAACAGCCAGAAGAATCTTCCCCTGAACAATTCACAGGACACAGCTTTAGTCTGGGAACCTCTGTCCCCTGTCCCCTTCTATTAGAAGCAAGGACAACTTGGTGCACATATGTCTGACATTTCATGGGATTCCTGACTAAGCTGCTGTCACAGGATTGGAAAAAAAACCCACAAAACCTAACATATGTGTACTATATATTCTGCATATTTCACAGAGCAAAGAAAATCTTAGCTCAACTGAGATTACATGGTAGTACACACTGAAACATAAAATATTTGCTGAGGTTTAGGACTAGATGGATTGAAGAAAAATGTTCTCACCCTCCTCCCCATGGTCACTTTGTATCTGACGAAGTAGTCACTGGGCAGGCAAGATGCAGAGTCACCTGCATGCCTAGCGGGGGACTCCATTAGACACGTGCCTGTGCGTCTTCACTGTAAGGTTCTTACCTTGGGCTGAAATGCTCCTTGTAGTGAACCAAAAGGGCCAGTGGGTGGGATCATGGGGGGGATGCCCGATACTGCAGGAGGATAGGAGTGGAAGAGCTGTTGCCAAAGACGGAGAGGGAGAAAAGCCATTTTAGTAGGAGGCAAATGATATACTCAAATTCCCTTCCCATAGAAAGACACCAACATTAGCAAGCCAAGTAATCTCAGTTTGATGCTATTAGCCAAGAAGCCATGATGAAATGATCACACAGATGTGCTGTGAATGTTTAACTTAAAAAGTTAAAAGTAGTTCAGAATCAATCAGCCAACAAATGATGCCCCAGATGAGGACATCATTAGAAAGGGAGCTTTTCTAATTATTAATTGGTAAATCGCAGAGAAGTCCTAAATGGTTGGAGCTTTCAATGCATATCAAAAACAGGAGGGAAGCTGAGCCAAATAAGAGGCCCAGATAATTACAAGTTAATTAGAAAAAAAAAGAGAAAAGATTAAAAAAAAAAAAAAAAAAAAAAGGAAGAAAAAGAAGCAAGTCTTTATGAATGCCAGGAGTTTTTTTATGCCATTAAAACTCAATTAGTTCTTTTAGGTTTTTAATAGTTTGAGGAAATGAGGACATATTCACAATCCTTGCTTCATTAGGTTGTTCTACAAGTTGGCAGTTCCAGAGGACAATTTAACTTTCTTATCTAATATGATGACAAATATTTGTGGAAGGGGAAAATAAAATGACTCAGTGTATACTTTAAATGGAGCTGTCAAATTTTCTCCAAGGTGGATTACAGAAGCATAGAAATACCCTCTGCTATAGCTAGTACTAAGCCTAGGTTATCACTATCTAGTTTTTTTTTTTTTGTTTTTTTGGTTTTTCTCCGGTACCGGGAACCGAACTCATGACCTTGCGCTTGCGAGGCAGGCGCTTTTGCCGCTGAGCTAAATCCCCAGCCCCTCACTATCTAGTTTTAATACTATTGTTTCCTAGAGTTTCAGGTACTCCGAGCCCTTCTGTTTTAACTTGTGAAGCCCAAATTCTTATGGCCGGTTTTGAATACAGTAGTAGCTCGGTTCATGGATGCTTTTCTTTGCAAACAACTTGGTTCGAAAACAGGCATTTGGCAAAATTCTGTTTCTGTTTGTGAACTCTGCATCAGGTGCCAAACACACCTGTGGCCATCTTTACCTTGCGAATGGGAACCTGACCATCTTCTCCAGAATCCTGGAACAAATCAAGTTCATGAACCGAGGTACCACTGATCTGCTATTTAATAAGCAAGCTCCGCGGATGCTACGCAAGTCATGCTGTTGGCATGTGAGTTTGATCATTCAGGGATGTCAGAAGAACGGTTCTGAATGAATAATGTGAATTTTCTTCAATCGTTAGCTAACAGTGTGCATAACTAAGGGGAAAAAGAGAGTGCAAACACCTCTCCCTCCTTTTAAAAATTTATTTCTGGGCCAGGGATATAGCTCAGTGGCACAGCGCCTGCCAGCAAGCACAAAGTCCTGAGTTTGATTCCCGGTAAAAAAAAAAAAAATTGTATCTGAGATTCTGCTTTTCTGATTCCATTTCCTTTGATTAAAGCACCATATGGACATAGAACTAACACCTCATCTTCAAGGCTATGTTGTATATTTAAAAAAGTATAATAACGAGCTTTTCTTCATACATTTGTTACCTATTTTTAATAACTGAAATTTGCATCTCACAATCCTGCTTTCACAGCATGTACTTTTTCCATTGGTCTTTATTTCATTTTGCTCCCTTATTATGATACGGCAACATTTTTTAGACTAATTGATATTGAACTAAATCCACTTAAACAGAGATTGCAAGCAAAGTGCCCTCATTTACAACTACTTTTAAGTCTAAAATTGTGTTTTAGATCCTTAAGTGCACTACATCTCAATTCCCCTTCTAACGTCCTAATCCCCAAAGCAGGGGAGACTAAGTGCTTCATATATTATCTGCTATAACTAATAATATGAAATAACTCTCCCGCAGTACACTGTATATGGCAGAGTAATTAAATACACGCCACACTAAAACACACTCAAATTTCTATTACTCTGCCTCTAGGTGGGCATTTTTCCTTTAAAATTTACAATAAAATTGTATGTTCTTACCACTTTCCTTTTGCCTTCTTCTGTTATTTAAGTCTTAGAATACAAAGGTAGCTGACTATTCCCCTCTTGACTAAAAACCTGAAGCGCCTAAATAATAAAACATCAACTTCCTGATGCTCAGGCCCAGGGCATGTGCTGTATCTTACACGCGGGACTCTGTGGAATGTGCACACACGGGCGCTGCGTTGCTCTCAGGAAGCAAGTCAGAGCCACCTGTTGAGCACACTGAGCTTTCTACAGGGATTATTTCTTAGTGGGAAGTAAAGCACAGACTAAGGGCAGAATGGCAGCATGTATGGGCAGGCCCGAAGATGAACCCACGTACGACTACAGGATTTTGAGAGTTCACTCAAAATTAAGTTCTCGTATCGTAGTGTTTAACAAAATTGGGTGGATCTGTGGGGTGCAAGTCACTCACATGCACTTTTTAATTCCTCTTGAAGAGGATTTCCTCATGTTAGTTCTGAATGTCTCTAAAGAATTCTCAATTGATTTCTAATATTTTTCAGTCTTGACTTCTCAGCTACATTCTTGACAGTGTCTGATTATATATTTAAAGTATGAATGAATTTACTCTTTATTGATCTATTCAGCAGCATTTGCACTAAAATGATAATGCTATCTAAAAACCAAAGCAAAATAATTACATATGGTGATCAACATGGCTGCAAACAAACTATTAATCTTCTTTTTTCTGGTTTTACTTAAAAATATAAACTATGAAGCAAAGAAACTTGCAAATTTTCAGATAAAAATGATGCAGTATTCACCCTGTAATCAAAATATCATGGTAACATATTCAAGTCCTTTTGCATGAAGAGAAACTGTCTTATAACTGAACTTATAACTCAGGTTGGCACCAATTTAACTCCTGGAATGAATTAACAAGTCATTTTTTTATAGAAAGAATGAGTTTAGAGAAAAACTGTGCTCAACTTTTAAGAATTCTTTTAATTAATTCTTTTAATATTTTTATTAACTAATGGACATAAGCTCAGGAGAGCTACATCAGCCATGCTGAAGAGGGCTCTATACGTAAAGGAAAATCTACTTTTTGAAGTTGAGTAAAGAAGATAAGGAGCTTTGTATTTAGAGGACACAATTCAAACTGAGTTCCAGGAGTTGTGCTCCTGGCATTTCAACTGATGGCTGAAGTGCTGTGACTTTACCCTCTGAAACCATAATGACTCCACACAGATACCCCCTTGGCAGGATAGAGGCCCGACCTCTACTACATCCCACCTGCTTTAAGTCTTGGGTGTGCTTATGATCTTTTGATTCAGAAGACAATACTGCATCTTTACCAAAAGCAAAATGCCACGAAAGCAAGCATCCAAAGTGACAAGGTGCAATGGGAACTCTTGCAATGATGATTAAGGAAGCCGCTAATCATTTACTGATCTGTGGCAAGAGCACAAGAACGCAAAAGCAGTTACATTGAATGTGTAGCATGGTAACATAACTCACACTGTGCCGGTAGAATGGGTCAACTTTTGTAGGGTATTTGTCAAACTGTAAAGGGATCAAAGCAAAAGCTAGTTACTTAATCTGCATTTTGGTTCACTGCGTCAGTGGAGGTAACCCTAAACAACTTCTGTGTCATTGTCATCAGGCTCCATAACCTCACTGTGCATGAAATCATCTGAGCTCCTAAGTTACCCTTACAATAAACCAACAGAAATGGGAAAACCCATACGGTACACGTGGGTCCTGGACATACTATGTCTTACTCTATATTTAGAGATCAACACAGAACGAGCATGTAAACTAGAGAAGATAGGCAATTATCCAGGTAACTTAGAAGTGAGCATTTGGTCTGATTTACCCAGAGAATTCCCTCCATTTTCATCTTTTCTTTGGCAGACAAACTGGATTCAGCTGTCTTCTGAAACACATTACACTCAAATACAGAGCAGTTTGGGCTGGGGCTTAGAGCCTTTGTTCTGAGAAAAAAGTATACTATCATTCTTCTAAGTAGTAATGTCTGGGTACTCTCACAACCCTGAGTTACTTGTGAAACAGGCCAGCATGAAACTTTTCCAAAATATGAAGCCTTTAAAACTGTGACTGTTGTTGAGAAGTATAGTTCTTCCAAAACAAAAGATACAGGATTTCCTGTAGGAAATTTTTTGGTTGTAAGGCCTCAATTTAATATTCTTCTAAAATATATATTTTAAAAAGATGAACAAAATGGGTGAAGAAAGGAAAGGGAGGAAGTGAAGGTGTATGACAAGAACTCCTCCATGAAATTCACATCTATTCTTGCGATGCCTACATAAACTGCCTCACAACCAATGATGTTGAATATTAAATATTACTTAAATATTTAAAATTAAGGAATAAAATCTTCTAATACTGTTTGAGACAGAATTCTATCTCAGGATAGAGTTCTAGTATGGTATTATGAATCACAGTTTCCAATTTTCAAAACAAAAATCCGAACTAGCCAGACCTGGTGGCTCAAGCCTATAATCCCAGCTCCTCAGGAGGCTGAAGCAGGATTGCAAATTCAAAGCAAGCCTGGGTAACTTAATGAAACTTTTGTCTCAGAAATTTAAAAAAGGACAGGGATATAGTTCAGTGATAAAGCATTTGTCTAACGTATAGAAGGTTCTAGATCCAATTACCAGTACTAAAAAAAGTCAAAGGAAATAAAACAAGTTCTAAGTAGTCGGGGCATTGCCAGGTAAGACCATGTCATTGTCAGTGGTCGCTCTTACTACTGACTGAGTTCTGTCCCTGTGGGTACATCAGTCCCTAACCACTTGCAGAGAGTAAACAGTGCTGGAGTAGGGCACTGTCATGAAATAGAGTAGAACACTTCTAACAAAGTAGATTTAGGGAAACCATCTGAACAAGCAGAGGTAACTTGGTGTTGCCCAGTCCTCCTCACAGATCTCTCAGCCTTCTCCCTTCCTTACTCCCAATATTCTGCATGGAAATGCTGGTCCTTCGTAGAGGAACCTTTTATACAATCCCCAGTATGCCCAAGGAAACTAAACAAAACTAGGAGAGGTTAACTACCAATACCAGATGTGACTATTTTGAGGTCATCTAGAATAAAATCCACCCACAGTGTTAGATACAACTGTTTAAAGAAAAAAGTCCCTATGCCAGGCCCCTGAGGTTAGAGCTTGTGAGGTGGGACACGCTCCCTTCTCTCCTGCAAAGACAGGCCAGGCCTGAGGACCCCCTAGAGAGCCGGCACTCCCCATTCAACTCCTGCGGCCCCAGTGCCCATGCCAACCCCAGCGTGCTGCAGAAAGAAAAGAGTTGTGCTCGACTTATCCTCACATTTCTGCCTGGGGTACGCACCATGGGAGGTGCTGGCGTCGGCATGATGGCGGTGGGTGGGATGGCGTGGGGGAATGGCGTGAAGGTGTGCTGGTGCGTGTGCTGGTGCGTGTGCTGGTGCTGGTGCTGGTGCTGGTGGAACTCTGTCCGCAGGTAGGGCGGAGGGCCCAGGGAAGCCCCGCGGTCAGCACTCTGAGAGGCCAGAAAACGTGTGTTCAGTTCCTGGCGCAAGATGTCTTGCTCTGGAAAAGAAGAGAAGGGAGACCATGAACACCTTTGTAGTAATGGCTGTTGCCTTTAGAACAGGACATCAAGGCTTTCATTTGGAAGGATACGGGGCTGAGGATACGGCAGCGGGGGAGCTACCAGGGTGGAGCCAGGAAGGCTCTGGGATAGAGAGGCACAACCCATGAAGCGGGGTGAACTGACTCCAGGCCAAACAGCCCTGTTCCTGCGCTGACTGAGCCCTGGCATGGCGAACATCCTACCTATGAGTCAGTTTCCCATGTGTGACTTGGGGACATCAACACGGCTGACCTCAAGGTTTGTTAGAACCCATAGTTCCAGGGGCTAGGGGTCAAGTGCTTAGGGCACACTAACCATTAGCAGCTGTTACCATGGCAGGGGTCTCATGCCCTTTCCAAGGCCACTCACTGCTCTACAGTTTGGCGTAACATGGCTAGATTGGACCAACACTGGGACACTGGCCTGATTAATGCAGATGAGGAGATGAGGACCCCAAATCTAACAGTAAGTCTGTTCTCTAAACTCTGGACTATATTGCCACAGAAAGTGCATCTCCTCCTCCCAAGAAGGCGGCAGAAGACACTAGTGAACAGAAACAAGCCTCTTAGGCCGGGATGCAACCTGAAATCCTGCAGTGAAGTGGAAATGGCCCTGGGAAAGCTGTTATTGCTCTGGCTGAGCTCAAGGCACACAGCAGCTGGGATTTCCCACCCAGTGGCGAACTTGGCGGGAAAGGCGTTGTGACTCTGTCCAACCACTTACTAGGCTGTGCCTGGTTAGTACCCACTGTATTTCTGCTGAACCTCTAGCCACAGACGATGAAAGGACAATTACAAGAATATATCCAAGAAAGCACAAAACTGTTCATAAACACAGTCTGGCTCTCAGGGACAGTGCAAACAGTGATGAGGTCTCTTAGCAAGGGACAGTGGACAAAGGTGCGCATGGCCCGCATCCGTGTCCTACCTGAGTAAGTGCTCCCGGCAGGGTGTCCGGGGACCTGCAGACTCCCTGATGTCAGTGGTGGTGGAGGAGGCAAAGCAGTGGGAGGGGCAAACATATTGGGGTGATGTGAGTGTGCGGGGGGCTGGAGGGTGGGTGTGAAGCTGTGCAGGGGGCTGTGATTGGGCAGGGAGAGGGGGAACGGGGAGGCGGAGGGGTGGTGGGAGATGTGAGGGGGGGCGGGCTGAGTCTTCGCTGGAGTGCTGCTTCTGCTACTGCTGTTGGAGTAAGAAGGAAAGAAGAAAGCAAAGAGAGGTGAGCAATTTGTTTTCTCAAAGTAGACCTCATCTCCCCGCCCAGATGCACTGAATCTGTCCTGTCTTGCCCTTCCTTCTTTCCAGATCCTCGCCAATGCACAGCAGCTGCGTGCAATCTCCACTCCTGCACACCCTTCCCTCATTCCCAGGGACGTGGCCAGCGGGAACCACTGCCCCAGAACTGCTGCGCACCTGGCTCGGGACAGCTGGCTCCGCCTGGCCCTCAGGGCTTTTCTCCTTCTGTGCCCACTCTCACCTCCACCCTTCCGTTCTCGTCCAGCCCTGCTTGCTAGGAAGCGGCAGAGCTGAGGCTCTGCGTTCGCCCTGTCCACGGCTACCCTGCTGGCGGAGAAATGAAAGGAGGAGACGGGGCCAGGTGCCCGCGCCTCCTGCCAGCCTTTTGGCTAGAGGCCAAGTGAATGGTGGGAATGGCCTGGCCCCTTGGAAAGAACCCTGCCTCCCTGAGGCCACACTGTACCTGTCCCAGACAGGAAAAAGCAAGTCCCTGAGCCACCAAAGTCACCAGGTTTCCAAAAGGAAAACAGTAACAATGATACGAAGCCTCAAGAGATCTGCGGAGTTAGAATTTTAACCCCGGACAACCAGGGGTTGCTCCCGCCGGCCCCGCATCTGGGCTTCCTGCCTCTTTCCTTCAGTTTTCCTCTGCACTACTGGACTTTGCTTCCTAGCCTGACAAAGACCACAGAGAGTCTCACTCTCCATGCCGGCACCCATTTCTTCTTCTCCACCGCTACTAGTTTCTTCTCTAGCTCTTTGCCCACACAGGAGCAGACAAATCCCAGTGAAAACACCCCAAACCAGAACAGTCCTTGGGTGCCAACCTTCTGGAGTTGCACAGACGTAGCTGTCCTTCCGACTCCCTCCCCCGGAGGCAAAGGGACGCCCCTCTGAGCATCACTCGCCACTCCCACCACCGCTGGCTCCCAGCACAGGCCTGGGCCTCTTTCTTGAGCCTTCTCCTCCTGCCTTCACTCCTCACGCCCACCCCAGCTTGGTCTTTCCTGGGAGGCCTGAGTCTCACCCATGTGCAAGCCTCAGAGACAAAACAAGGCCAAGCCTCAAGGAGGTAACACCAGGTTCCTGGAGGCGCCCGGTCCCCATCCCTGTGCTCGTCCCCAGGAGTCATGCAGAAGAATGGCAGACTCACCTGAGACTGTTGAGGCTCAAGCTGCTGCTGTTGTAGGCGGACAGCGGCTGGGAGAGGCTCTGGGACGACGGGGCGGCCTGCACTGCCGGGAGGCTCTGGTGAAGCAGCTGAGTGGGGGACTGTGGCCGGGGTGGCCGCTGCACCTGAGGCTGCAGGGCGGGCTGCAGCTGGGCCTCTGGGGGGCCCTGTGGCGGCTGAGTACTCGGAGGGGGCGGCTGGGCAGGGGCCTCCACTCGCTGTACCAAGTCAGGATCCGGAGAAGGAGCTCGGAGCTGGGGCTCCACGGGCGGCTGGGGTAGTGGCTGGGGGACCTGAGGACAGGGGTCTTTAAGCACCACGGGCTCAAAGATGGGCTCTTTGCAACAGTCCTGGCTCTTCTCCTGGCTCCTCTCTAGACCAGATATCTTGGGGACAATCGGCCCTGCATCCTGGCTGTCATGTTCGGGCAGCGTGCCAACACCTAACTCCGGATCTGTACGGAGAGAGCAAAGACAAAACCACAGGCAGTGAGTTATGGGCATGCAGTGAGGGGAGAGGCACCCTCCGAGGCTGGGCCATAGAGTCCCAACAATGCCGTCAGCTTCCTGCCCTGCCTTCCCCGGTGCAGGCCTTGGAGTTACGGTCCCTGTGAAAAGGGACAGCAGGAGATGAGACAGGAAAGCTGGGAGCAGCCTTTGTCCCTGGCGGGAGAGAGGACACCACAGGGCCAGGGTGAGTCCCAGAATGAGTGTTTTCCTTAATCTCCGCAAAGTCTTTTATGGGGCACGATGAAGAAACAATAGCTGACAAGTAAATTTTTCCCTTTTAAAATAAACAGTTGTTGAATGTATAAAAGGGAAGTATTTTCAAAAGCAAATGAAGCAATGTTGTTTAACAACACACAGATGTTTTCTTGGCCTTCTTTCTCTCTCCCTCTTGCATTTTGGCCAAAAAGACACACTTGACATTTAGAGGAACAAGTTTCTGTTTAGAAGTGCTGAATTTCCAGTCAAAGTCAGGCCTCCTAAGTCCTCCAGCCATCTCACCAATATCTGAGATCAAGGCTGCAGACGGAAATGTAAATCAAATTTATGGTCAACCACATTTCCCAGCTCTTTTAAGGGATTCCCCTTTGACCATGTGGGGGTCCCCACCCACCTGAGATCAAAGGGTGCAGATACTACATGCTGAGATTAAACTTGGATGTAAAATTTAAGCAAGCTTCTTCAATTATGAAAAAATATAGAAAACAGATGTTCCTATATGAATTTAAAAGCTACAGTATGCTTACCGCTAAAGGTCAAAAGATCCAAATGTCACATCTAGTATAATGGTGTCTTTGATTACTCCATAATCCAAATTCCATACAAACAGAAGAATGACAGATCAATATGAAGTTAAATATAAAGGAAGAGCCCCAATGAACAGTTTGTGTTTTTGTATGCATCTGGGAGGAAACTACCTTTCTTGTATTTTTGTGCTACAAAGATACATCCTTTTTCTTTTGTTACGATGCAGTTTAGCAATAGCAAGAGTATAACTCAATAGGAGGAGTATTCTCTGCCAGGACGGTATCGTTCAGGCATTCCTAAATGAACTACCCTGGGCATGAACCTGTCTTCCTATGTCCCTATATTAGCGTGGAATGCATGTGATGTTCATGCTGGTTGGGTTTTTTTCTGCCTGTGTACTCCGGTGTTCGTATACTTGTTAGTCACTTTTCTTCCCTGGAATTTGCATCCAAGTAATCCATTATTTGCAATCCATTATTTGTTCTTTTGGTAAAACAGTTCAAACCCGCAATGTGCGCAACAAAAGCAGAAACTAGCCCTGCGTTTATAAGCAAAGCACATTTCTGCCTCACACACACTTGGCTAATTTCGAGTCTCAGTGAGAAGCCCGCAAAAAGTGCCAACAGGATGGAAAGACAGCTGCCTCCTTGACCTGTTTCAGGTACCCAGGATGCCACAAGGCCCCGGAGACAAGTGACCAGGATTTATGACATCCTGCTCATGCATACTTCTGTCCATTGTGGCTTAAGAGCCTTTTAAGGAAGCTTTTTGCTTCTGATAACAGCTTCAGTTTTAGGGGTTCCCAAACCTTGGTTTGTCACTGCTCAAAGATGACGTGAGGTCCTCCTGGATGTGCAGGCAGACCCTGCCCGCCAGTGGAGCGACCTGGTGGCACAGGAGTTCCTCTGCCTGCAGATGCCAGAGCCAGCAGTCTGGCTTTGCTCATGCTTTTTTTCTATTCCTTTACAGATCTCCTGAATTTTTCTTTCACAAAAGTCTACTCCAGGACACACTGAAGCCATCACAGAACACACTGAAAACTGAAAGCTTCACACATGCGGGCCCGTGACTCGGGTCTGGGACAGGAAGCACCAACAGCACAGAAAGCTAGGAGCACAGCATGAGAGGAGGGATTTACTGGAGAAGAAGCCTACGCGCACAAGCGGGGACTCCTCCTACACAGACAGCTAACTTAGGATTATTGTGCTTGACACAATGGCAGGAACATGTTCTCATCCTTTTGTGCCAGTGCTCTGTTCTGCCTGCACTAAGTATAAGGAATCCATCCATCTTTTCTATTTTGGTGAAGTTTATATTCAAATTCCCCCCAAAATTTAATGTTCAATTAAAGCTTTTCCCTCACATAAAAAGAAGACTTCCTTTGCCAAAGGACAATGTTTAAATTTACTTCTGCAAGTAATAAAGCACATTCGAAACACACAGGCAAGCATCCCGGCAAGTACATGTAGCTCACTCTGTCTGTCTCCTTGTTCTTTTTTGAGCCACGGCTGTCGGTGGCCTTCTATCGTGCACACATGGCCTTGCTTCCCAGGCTCTGCAAAGGCTAGCAAAGCTGGCTTTCTCGTCTCCTCTTTGACCCCATCATCTCAATCCCAACCTAAACACAGCTAGAACTTGCGGAGTGATACCCAGACTGTGATGGTCTCCGCCATCAATAACAAGCAATGAGGGACACAGGGAAAACCAAACCTCACTAGTGAACCTCAAACATCCATACTGAATCTGTGGTAAAGGACTGAAGAAACCCAGAAGCACAGAATTTTGAAACAGGACTAGAGGACCTGCCTGAGCACCGCTCAACTTTCAGTGAATGTACAAATTGTCTGAAAGGCAGATCTGGATTTGAAAGCTTTGTGATGCAGTTCACGATTCTGTCTTTCTGAGGATCTCCTGGGTGACACTGTTGATCGTTGGTCTATCTACACCGTGCTACCCCTAGGTAACAAAAATCCTAAAACAAAGTAATTAATGGCCAATGCAAGACTCAGTTAAAATATTTAATCACAGAAGATAGAATACAGTGTTAGGAAAGCTATAGAGAATTGCTGGCACACTGGACTTTAGCTCACACTGAATGCAACCACCGATGAATGCATCAGTGCTCTGGGACTGCAACCTAGAATACAGCAAGGCAGGGACAGGGCTGAGGACTGGTAAGAACGTTGGGGCTAAAAGAGTTTTATGACTCCCTCCTTACACGATATGTCTTCAGGCACAAATTAGGCATCGAGCATCTCTGAGGCTAATCAGTAATGCATTTCCTCTTCCTTTCAATTATTCATTAAACCTATTTCCCCAGTGTAGGCTTCACAGTTTGTCTTATTGTGCTTCTCCAAAATTTGCAAAAATACATTTTTTAAAACTCATTTAGTATTACCCCATGTACTCTGAATGTGCCAAAGATGAAATTTGCTGAGACTGAAAGATAATGTGCAAACTGGCTGGTTGTACTTAAACACTAAATTCATTATATTTCCCATGCCTAAAAAAGGCTCTCTTCCTGTGATTGTGCAAAGCATACTACACACTGTAACATAAAGAAGGTGAATTCACTGCATGTAAAGTATAAATCAATAAATGACTCAATACATTTAAAAAAATCAAAGCCAGATTAAGAAAAATTTACTTGATTTTGATACAGATTCCTTGGGGGGAAATGTGACCTATTTTGTACTTTACCAGTAGAAAGTAAACCCTACATACAACCTCTGGAGGGCAATTTGGCAACATTCAGCAAAAAACAAAACAAAACAAAACAAAACAAAACCTCCTTAAATGGAGTTTCTTTGCCCTGGTATGTAAAGATTCAGTCTACCGACACAGGAAATTATCCACGGATTTCAATTGCAAGTCTGGAAATAACCCAAATGAGATCATTAGGGGAATGGTTTAAAACATTTGGAACATCCATAAAAGAGAAGGTATGGAAACGAATGCCATATCTGCAGCCTATAGCATATACTATATCCTTTGGGGAATATATAGGAAAGTAATATATGTACGCATTTTTACTTATGCCTAAAGATGCTCTGTTGACAAGACAGTAACAATTGTTACCATTTTGGGGTCCTGGGGAACAGAATGCCTAGTGGTGGTGGACCTATAAGCACACATGCTGAGGCAGGCTATTTGTTGTCACTAAAAGCTCTACAGGTTCGCCATCGTTGAACTAGAGCATGGGGAGAAAGTTTATTTCTGTGTACATGCATAAAAAATAAGAAAATGTAAAAAAGTAACAAAATGGATATTATGAAAAAACATGAATTACTGAAGCTGACTAAAATTAATCCCAACCATAACATCAACTGTCAAAGAACTAAGTAATCTACAACTTTATCTCACCCCCCAAAAAGGTATCTGTTTAAAAGGCAGTATTTACTATTCCTCTGAAAAAAATTATTCCTATTATTTACATTGGAAATAGCAGACATGATGCAACAAAAGGAAAAGGTAAAACTATTATTTGCAAAAAAAATTGTGTTTATCTAGCTGGAAATCATGAAAAACTAGCTGAAAAAATACTCGAGCTGTAAGAGAGCTAAATAAGGTATCCAAAAAAGAAAAAAACAAACTACATTAGCTTTGCCATATTAATAATCAGTTGGGGATGGAGTTCAGTGGTAGAACACTTGCCTAGCTATACCCTCAACACCACACATACACACACGCAGAGAAAATAAACGGAGAAAATGATCTCCTTTACAAAAACCATATAATACCTGGAAACTAATCTAACAAGAAAATTATAGAAATTATACATTTCTGCAGGCTTTCAGAAATATATTCCAAAAAGTTACTATATATATATGTATACATATATATATATATACATATATACACACACACACACACATACAAACATATAGCTATATGGAGAGACAGAGAGAAAAAGAGAGGGGTCAAAATCATGTAAGAGGTGGTTCTCACTAGAGGATAACCCTCCTAGGAGAAGTTTTAGAAGTTTGTGGGAGTGCATTTGTCTGTTACAATAACTGGAAGATACTGTTAACTCTTAAGGATACTAGATGTACTACAATGTGGAACAATCCCATACAACATCTCCCAATATCCCAATTCACTTTCTAACTTTCAGTACGTTTTCAAGTACCTAGAACTCTGTTTATGCAAATAAACACAGTAATATTTTGCATATACTGAACTTTCCAGGAATGCAATCACT